ACACCTGGGCTATGCATATGCCAGTCACATACACCCGAAACTAAACCCAAAACCCTTTTACACCTGGGCTATGCGTATGCTAGGAACATACGCCCTAAACCAAACCCGAAACCCTCAACCGCAAAAAACTGGACCCGAAAATGCCCCAACTCGATCCCAGCGGCGCAGGTTCGGGCAGGAGGGGCTCCCTCTCGCCCTCGCCACTCTCCGTGCCGGCCGAGGAGGGCAAGGACGAGTCCAGAGAGGAGCTCGGCATGACATGGCTTTTGGGGGGGGGGGGGGGGGNNGTTTAGGGTTTAGGGTTTCTGGGGTAAGGTTTCCAAGGTTCTAGGGTTTGGGGTCGGGCTTTGGGTTTCTATGGTCTGGTGCAGCGTTTCTAAGATTTTATGGTTTGGGGTAGGGTTTAAGGGTTTCCATGGTTTCTGGTAGGGCTTATGGGCTCCAGCGTTTGGGGCAGGGTTTCGTCTGGGAATGTCCCTACGGGTCCATGTACCAAAATACTGTATACTTTGGCCTTGAAGTAGTCCCTATCTAGTTGGGTTTGAGGTAAAGGTTTCCTGGGGTTTGTTGCGTCTTGGGCTTCACTTAGGCTTTTAAAGCGAAGGGTTTGGTGTTGGAGCCTGCGTGTCGAAGCCTTCTCGTTGTCGGCTGGTCATGGAGATCAGCGATCGAGCCAAAATGTCACCGGAGGCGTTTTGGGTCGTTCGAACCTCCACCGGGCCGCCCGCAATGGTAGGGCTCATGGTCTTCAGGGTACTGGACCCAAAGAAACCTACATGTTCAGGGTGCGGGATCTCTCTACATAAACTGACCTCCATCCAGATATATATATATATATTATAATACCAAGATGGTAGGTTTCTGGGGCTGAAGTAACCTTCTCTTAGTAGTTCAGTTTTGGACTTCCGACAACGTCCTGAGCACCCAAGACCCAGAGAGCCGGCAAACCTCCAAACAGCGTAAACCCTGAATCCACGAACTGCACCCAGCGCTGAGCGATTGAAGCCACAGAGCCGTAGCCCTGTTAACCCCCAAGAGCCCTAAACCTGGCCAAAAGCCCTAAACTTCCAAACCAGCCTCTCAGCTTGACCTGCTCCATGACCCAAACCCTAAATGGCCCTAAATCTTAAACCCTCAAACCCGAAACCCTAAACCCCAAACCCCAAATCTTAAACCTCGAACCCTAAATCCTAGACCCTGCCCCTGGCCCCAGGGCCCGATTCCCCCTGCGAGGCGATTATATAATTAGAATAGACTTCTGGGACCGTTATACTATATTTATACTCAGGAACCCCAAAAAGAGTATGGGTAACCCTAAACCCTAAATTATCATGAAAGGCCTTTTTTAGCCCTAAACCCTAAACCCTAAACTACTATTAAACCCCCACCCTTTTTCAGCCCTAAACCCTGTCCTCAGCTGCCTGAGCTGGTGGCTCCTTTTCGCTGGCACCGTCGCCTGCTGAGGGCTTCGCAACTCTGGCGGCTTCTTAAGGATTTGGAGCCGTTTAGGATGAAATGCTTTTAGGGTTTAGGGTTTAGGGTTTAAGTTTAGGGTTTAGGGTTTTTTCCCTCTCGCAAGGGTTTGGGTTTAGGGTTTCAAGTAGGGCTTAGGGTTTAGGAATTTGGGGCCGTTTAGGATTAAGTGGGTTTAGGGTTTATAGGGTTTGGGTTTAGGGTTTAGGGTTTACGGATTTGGGGCCGTTGAGGTTTAAGTGGGGCCATTGTACGCGCGGGTTAAAACTCAAAGGTTTATGTTTTTGGGCTCTGTTTGCCGGGCTTGTTCGGGGTCGGTAAGGTTTGAGGCTCACATGACGGTCGAGGCCCCCTTTGCTGTCGTCCACTGATTCCTTGCTTTGTTCAGCCCCCTCAAACACAAAACTCGGCGAGCTCGAAGGCCTGCAGGCCGTATCCCCTGAAAGCCCAGGTAGCCCTAAACCCTAAACCTTATCTGTAACCGAAAAGACCTACCTTTTTTGAGGAACCATACATAAAAGCATAAGGAACCCTAAAAGTGCCGGACTTTCCGGCGACCTTCAACTTTTCACTACAGGGAGAAGTCGGGGAATCATGATCTAGGATCTGCAGAAGGGCTGTCGTAGAGCACCCAAAAAAATTAAGCCCTACACCCTCGACCTGAATGCCCAACTACAGGAAGGCAAAGTTTTGTGCTTCCGGAACATGCTTACAGCCAGTTCCTTGAAGATTGGCTACAAAAAAGCAATCAATGATGCTCTGATACAGGGGCCCGATGCGAGTAGGTTTTTTCTGCATGTACTCTGGTGTCATCATCTTGGGAATATGAGGGGGCACCAGCACAACTCACTCAGACCTTGAGAATCATTGGCTAGCTGGCTACCTACACACGCCAAGTGAGAAAACATCGATCAAAGGAGCTCGAGATTGCTACATGTTTTCCACGCCGAGTCTGACATTCATTCAATTCTTACTGGACATTCTTGCCAAGCTCTGAGGATCAACAACGACATCCACTACCTGACAATTTGACGAATACGCCAAAAGGATTCTTCGTGCTTTCAGTTTTCAAAACTGTCCGATCATCCGTCGCAGCTTCGTCAGAAGCAGGAGTGCCTGCTGCCATTCTCCGGCTTCCTCGCAAGCGCCGATCGCCGATCCGTAGCTGAAAACCGTCGGTATCAGACGTCGGGTTGAGTGCTCGTTCAGTAAGTATAGTGTCTGCTTCCACTGAACGCACCTGGCACAGGCCCCGACGAGGGAGGTGCAGGGAATGACGTTCGGCTGCAATCGGGTCATATCCATGCGATCCAACAACTCAAGAGCCTTTGACCACTCTTCGGCCTTGCAGCAAGCACTGATGCAGGCACTGAAGGTCACGATGTTGGGTTCTACGCCTCCCCTCATTTCCGAGAAAAGAAAGCAAGCAACCTGCCACTGACCTTGTTGATCACAGGCGCTGATGGCAGCGCTCAGCGAGATTACATCCCACTTCAATCGTCTCTGGCCCATTTCCTCTAGCAGGACTAGTGCCTTCTCCCACTCCCCTGCATTCTCACATGCAGTTATTGCCGAGTTGCAGGTCACAATGTCAAGCCGTAAGCGCTCTGCTTGAAGCTGACCGAGAAGAGCGCAACTTTTCTCCCAATCGCCGTCCTTTCCACGAGCAGCCACCGCGGACCCGTAGGTGACAGTGTCTGGCCAAAGACCTTGCACGTAGACTTCCTCTACCACCATCAATGTACGATGCCACTCGCTCCCTTCTTCGCAGGAAGACATTGCAGCATTGTACATGACGATGTTGGGCTGCAGGTTCCCTCCTCTTCCTGCATCACAAAGGAAGAACATTGACATTTCCCAGTGCTGCATCTTTCCGCTGGCTGTGTTCGCCGCACTGTAAGTGAAAACATCAGCCTGCACGCGCTGGCCCCCCATGGCCTGTAGAAGGGAGACTGCCTGCTGCCAGGCATCACCCTTCTCGCAGGAGCTAATCGCAGAGCTACATGTGATGACTGTCGGCTGGAGCCCTTCGCTGGCAATTCGGCCCAAGGTAACCAAGGCGACAGGCCACTGCACTCCTTTCTCACAGGCGCTGATGACAGCGTTGTAGGACACGACATCCGGGTGTAGAGATCGGTGGGGCGTATGGATTGAATTCAGGATGGCATAAGAAAGCTGCCATGAGCTCCCTCTGCCACATGCAGTTACAGCTTTGTTGCAGCTGATCAAGGAAGGTTCCACGTTCCACCGGAGCAAGAAACACAGGGAGAAGTCCCAGAGGAGTCTCGCACCCCGCGTGCCAGACTGCATCTACTCTACCCCAAGGCCACCCCAACGGATTCGAACAGCTCCCTAGAACTTTACGTTACCAGAGACTCCCAAACCCCTTAATTAAGAAATAGAGCTTAAACTATACTAGGAATCCTAATATGATTTAAGGTATATTCCTTAATTAAGGGGTTTTGGAGTCTCTGGGTAGAACTATACGTTACCTAAATCGTAGGTTACCCACAATATATTCTATTTAATGCGTAACCTATTACTTAGATTAGGGAGCAAGTCAAACCCTAAACCTGCTGCCCTGACGGAGCCCAGCAAGGCACATCTGATGCTGCTAACAGATGGAGCAAGTGAGTGCGCCGCCCACATAAACTACGCTCGCTGGCTCTGTCCCACGCTCTCTCGCCTCCCTCTCCCTGTCCCTCTTCTTCTCACTTTCGCTCGCTAGCTCCCTCGCTCTCTCCCTCTCTCTCTCTCTCTCTCGCTCTATCTCTCTCTCTCTCTCTCCCTCCCTGTCTCTCTCAGTCTCTAGCCACGCCTCTGTCAGAGTTTCAACTCCAGCACTCACACAAACCAGGCGGGGCCAACGGGTTGAAAGAAACCTGGGCTATTAAAACAAAACTCTGCCAAGAACACATGAAAAAACAGACCCACATATCAGTTCGACAATATTCGACAATGCTTTCTTCCTGCCTGAGAAAAGCCCCTATGAAAGCCCTTTATAGTATGCTGCGGCCGTATGCTGGAACCCCATACGCGACTTAATCACAAGCCCATCCCGGTGCAGCCTTGCGCTCTTGGTGCACCCCCAGCCGACCTAACACAGTCAATCCAGTGAGCAGATAGGGCTTAGAGGTTTTAGGGCTTTAGGGGTAAAGTCTTTGGTGCTTAAGGTTTAGCGTTTTACTAAGGGGTAGGGGTCCTTCTCCAGCTGCACACGTACTTTAGTGGGGACGGGGGGCAATTTGTCTTGCTGGGCTTCAGCTTGTGTTAATTCGGAAGTTCGACAGTTTTTCGGATCTTGTTCCTGGTTGCTACAGTACTACAAAGACCCTGAGAACTTGAGGATATTCGGGCTTCCTGCAAAGTTTGGAGGGACCCTCGAGGTTTCGACTTGGTCGCTCTCGCGGCTTCGGGTCGAGGACAGAACCTTAAAGGGTCCGTTCCAGAGTACTGGGATTAGGAAGAGGCAAGAAACAAATGCCTGTCAAGTCCAAGAATCCCATCTGAAACTGCACTTGGATTCAGGTTGTTAACGATCTCAAGGTCAAGTGTCTTAAACCCTTTTGCAACTGGCCTGCTGCGACTCCGCCAGGACGAACACTTGACCACAATCACTTAGTGAGTCGCTTGTTCTTAAACCCTAAACCCCGAAACCTTTAACCCTAAACCCGCACAACGGATTGGATCTTGGAATCCCGACTCGCTCACCTGCCCATGGGCCAAGTAGCTTAGGCTTTCGGGGTTTTGAGTTCCAGGGCTTAGGTTTAGGGTTTCAGACAGGTCTTGAGACAGGGGTAGATGGGCTAAGGTAGAAGCCAGAAAGTTGGAACATCATTATCCTGAGGCCCTTAAGGTAAAGTATAGGGAATCCCAAGTACAAATCATCCTTAATTCATGTCCCAACTCTCTACGGCTCCCTGTAAGGGGAAGGGCCCAGAGGCTTTAGTGCAGAGGATCCCAGAGTCGTTCGCCTACCCTCTGTAATAACAGTTCCCTAAGGGTCCAAAGGAACCCATAATAAGGTACTTGGGTTTATGCTACTTGTTATGTCGGTTCATATCTGGGAAAGTATGTGATTATCAGGTACTTGGACCCTTAGGGATTTAGTAGGAGCCCGACAGTTGGAAACCCAATAGCCTCAATCCTTAACAGGCAGGTATAAGAATCGCAGCACTATTTGTCCTTATTCCGGCTTCCAGCTCTTTGGGGTTTACTATAACTAGAAGACGAGTGGCCCGAAAGCATCATTAGCCATGAGTTTTGGAGCTATGTAATTGGAGCTATGTAACGTCACGGGGTCGAGTGTATAAAGTCTTAGATGGCAGTGCGTGGAGTCAAGTACATAGA